TCATCATCATCATCATCACCATCATCATCATCATCCTCATCCTCATCCTCATCCTCATCCTCATCCTCATCATCATCATCATCATCATCATCATCATCATCATCAACACCATCATCAGCATCATCATCACCATCATCACCATCATAGCATCACCATCATCAGCGACATCAGTATCAGCATCATCATCATTATCGCCGTCATCATGATCATCACCATCATCATGATCATCGTCAGCATCATCATCAGCATCATCACCAGCATCAGCATCAGCACCAACCTTATCATCAGCATCATCATCCTCAGCATCATCATCATCATCGTCATCATCAGTACCAGCATTCAGTTTCCAACCCTCCGCCTCCTCCTCCTCCTCCTCCGCCTCCTCCTCCTCCCTTCCCGTCCCTTCCCTTTCCTTCCCTTCTCGCCCGTCTCCTCCTCCTCCTCCTCATCTTCATCAGCATCAGCATCAGCATCATAATCATCATCATCAGCATCAGCATCAGCATCATCATGATCATCATCAGCATCGTCGTCATCATCACCACCATCATCATCAGCAGCATCATCATCAGCACCATCATCATCAGCATCAGCATCAGCACCAGCATCAGCATCATCATCATCATCATCATCATCAGCATCAGCATCCTCATCATCATCATCATCATCATCATCATCATCATCATCATCATCACCATCGTCATCATCATCATCATCATCATCATCGTCATCATCAGCAGCATCACCATCATCATCATCAGCATCATCAGCATCATCATCAGCATTATGATCATCATCAGCAGCATCATCATCAGCATCATCATCATCATCAAATTTCTAACCCTCCGCCTCCCCCTCCTCTTCTCAGCCATGCCCTCGACTGCCCCTCCTATTCATCCTTGTTTTCATCCTCCTATTCCTCCCCTGCCTACTCGGAGCAACGAAATGGTGGAGAGCCTGGGCAATAGAAACGCATTCTACGCATTAGTGCCTCACAGAGAAAGCGAAGGCTCCACATGTTTGACTCATCCACTGGCAAATGCATTTTGCAGTACACAGGCGTGGACGCCGAGGGTAGACGAATTGAGCTTTTGAAATTACATCTGGACAAGAAGGTCCTGCGAACCTGCGGCTCCACTCGAGCGCCCAGAGAGCAGTGGCATCAATGAATGCAGAGATTCACGCGCAGAGCCTGGACCAGCAGTGCGCGCCGCAGGAGTTCGCCAGCGGGTCAGGGCACATGCCGCGAGGAAGAGTGGGCACGGTAAGGGCACGTGGTGCGAATGAGACCCTCTGGCCTGGCATGGCACGCGGCAGAGTGGCGCGACGCCGAATGGACAACAACCTGCGGACAGTCCGGATCTGAGCGTATCATGAGGCCGTGCGAAACAGAGCGCGCATGAAATAGGAGTATGGGGAGTTAATGATCCTTGCACGCCACCGCAAGCAACGCCTGAGAATGGCGGCTCTCCTACCTGAGAGGGTTGCTTCCGCAACGATTTTTTCCGCAATCACTCGGGCATTCCAGGTCAGCGGGCTCATCATTGGGCATATGACTGCAGCGCATTAAACACATTCTGCAGGTTCCTCCTCATACTACGTGTTCCTTCATTCCTTTTACTTCCCTACCTGCCTCATCTTTTTCATCCTTTCGGCCCTCCTCTTTTTCGCCGAGCCCTCGGATGAATCCTCCTATTCCTCATCCTCCTCCTCCTCCAGACCCTCCTCCTGCTTTTCCTCCTCCTCCTCCTCCTCGTCCTCGTCCTCCTCCCCCTCCTCCTCTTACTCCTCTTTCTCTCCTCCTCCCACTACTACTACTCCTCCTCCTCCGCCTCCTCCTCCTCCTGCGCCAGAAAAGAAGGGAGAAGAGAGAGGCGGGCCAGCAAGCAGCGGCAAGGATCGACGCAGCCCTGACCTTGAGACAGAACCGACTCGGGCAGAGGCGGGCGGCGCCAACGAGACACGACACGACCCACGGGCCACTTCCGCCACCGCGTGCCCGAGCCGGCGCAGCTGGCGAGAGCAGAAGGGACGGGCCCCGGCCCCCCTTCCATTCGGAGCCGGCCCGCCCGCCCGCAACGGAATGGGCGCTCAGGCGGGAGCGGGGCGGCGGTGGAGGAGGGGGGGAGGGGGCCAGGAGAGAACCGGGAGGCGGAGGCGACGGACGCACGACCGGGGAACCTGCGCCACTGGCACCCCCCGTTAGGCGTTCGCGCGACCGCCGGAGGCAAGGAGCGGGAGAGCAAAAGGGAAGAGCGGGGGAGAGGGCGGAGGAGGCGGTGGGAAGGCTGCTCTCTCGAGGCCGCGCCGCGGCCCAGAGTCGCTTAGGCGTGCCGGGCGCGGTGAGCCTCTGGCCCGGCGCCTGCGCCGTCGGCCCCAGCCGCCCGGCGGGGCAGCCAGGCGCCCCCGCCGCCGGCCCCGGCCACCCTGCGGGGCGGTCCTCGAGCGGGCAAGCAGGCCGCGCGGCAGGCCTCGCGATGCCCCGCTGTAAAGCCACAACGAGGCTTTGCCGGGCCGCCGCGAGCGCCACTGCGCCCCCGCGCGCCCAGGTCCGGAGCAGCGCTTGCGCTTCGAGCCCAGCCCGCCCGAGGGTCTCGAGGGCGAAGGCCGTCAGCCCTGGGCCGGAGTAGCGCCTGCGCTTGCGCTCTTCCGCGGCCGCTGCAGCCGCGCCGTCGCGTACGGCGCGGCTCCGGCCCGCCGCGGCGCGGGCGCCCAGCGCCGCGTTCGTGGCGACGACGTCGGCGTGCGCCGAGCCGGCGGTCGGGTCGGTGAAAGCCACGTCGAGCCGCGCGGCCTCGGCGGCGCCGCCAGGGCCAGCCCTGCCCCAAGCGGGAACGGTCTGCTCGGTCGCCACCCCCGCGGCCCCTTGGGCGCGCAGCCAGCCCGCGAGCCAGTCTCGCACGCCGTCGTGGCGCGCGATGGCCCCGCCGCCCACATGGCAGTCGACCACGCGGCCGGGGTTGGCCACCAAGTCCGCGCCGCACCTCGCGCCGTTGGGCCGGCAGCGGAGGCAGACGTCGCTGGCGGCGCCCGGTAGAGGCAGCCGCAAGCGGAGGGCGAGCGCTGGCCAGAAGTACGCGTCGGCGAGGCAGTGGTCCGCTTGCGTCGGCGGCAGTTGCCAACTGCCAGCGCCTTCCCCGCTCGCTGAGCGCAGCAGCGCGGCCTGGGGCGGCAGGGTGTCCAGCAGCCGCTGCCTGCGAGCCTGCTGCTCCGCGGCCGAGAAGGCGCGCTGCGCCATCCGCGCGGGCCCCGCCGCGGCCGCCGCAGCGCTCGGCCTGCCCCCTCCGCGGCGGCCCATGCCCTCGGGCAGGCCGGCGCGAAAGCCTCCAAGCTGGTCAGCCCCAGCTCAACGCAGACGCCAAACAAGCACGCCTGCCACGCCCCCACGAAGGCCGGCAAACGGCGGTTGGCGAGCCCCTGCAGCCCAAGCCCGCCATCTGCCAAGTGCAGACAAGCCTGCTCTCTCGCGTCGGTAGTCACGGGCTGGCCGGCGAGCTCCTCCAGGCGTCCGAGCACCGCGTCGTCGCAGGCCCGGCTCCACGCCTCGTTGAGCAGATGCGCCCTCGCGCGGCGTAGGGCCGCGCCGTTGGCGAAGGCGCGGGGAGGCACCACCTCGTCCTGCGCGCGCAGCCCGTGCTCGCGCAGCTGGCGCAGCGCTGCCAGGTAGGCGTCGAGGCGGCGTCTCGCCGCGGGAGGGGTAGCCGTCGGCGAGAAGCTCGCGCGCGCCGGGCCCGGGCTGTCCGCCGCCGCGGCCGCGCCCCGAACGAAGGGCAAG